TGGTAAAAACGTCATAATAGATGAAACCACAATGGTTCTGTTCCGATTTTTGAATTTTGAGAAGACCATCAATCGACCATGTGGCCTAATGGATAAGGCGTCTGACTTGAATCAGAAGATTCAGGGTTCGAGTCCCTTCATGGTTACAGCTTGCCTTTTCTGCTAATGGTATGTTCTCGTTTGGGTTCCAGTCATTTTTACATGTGGTAAAAAGTCATAATAGATGAAACCACAATAGTTCTGTTCCGATTTTTGAATTTTGAGAACACCATTAATCGACCATGTGGGCTAATGGATAAGAAGTCTGACTTCGAATCAGAAGATTCAGAGTCCGAGTCCCTTCATGGTTACTGTCAGCCTTTTCTGCTAATGGTACATTCACGTTTGCATATCCAAAGACTTTTTACATGTGGTAAAAACGTCATAATAGATGAAACCACAATGGTTCTGTTCCGATTTTTGAATTTTGAGAGGACCATTAATCGACCATGTGGCCTAATGGATAAGGCGTCTGACTTCGAATCAGAAGATTCAGAGTCCGAGTCCCTTCATGGTTACTGCCTGCCTTTTCTGCTAATGCTTTTCTGCTAAACCACAATGGTTCCGATTTTGAATTTTGAGAAGACCATTAATCGACCATGTGGCCCGATTTTCTGACTTCGAATCAGAAGATTGAGGGTTCGAGTCCCTTCATGGTTACAGCCTGCCTTTTCTGCTAATGGTATGTTCTCGTCCGGGTTCCCAGTCATTTTTACATGTGGTAAAAAAGTCATAATAGATGAAACCACAATGGTTCTGTTCCGATTTTTGAATTTTGAGAACACCATTAATCGACCATGTGGCCTAATGGATAAGGCGTCAGACCTCGAATCAGAAGATTCAGAGTCCGAGTCCCTTCATGGTTACTGTCAGCCTTTTCTGCTAATGGTACATTCTCGTTTGCAAATCCAAAGACTTTTTTACATGTGGTAAAAACGTCATAATAGATGAAACCACAATGGTTCTGTTCCGATTTTTGAATTTTGAGAAGACCATCAATCGACCATGTGGCCTAATGGATAAGGCGTCTGACTTCGAATCAGAAGATTGAGGGTTCGAGTCCCTTCATGGTTACAGCTTGCCTTTTCTGCTAATGGTATGTTCTCGTCCGGGTTCCCAGTCATTTTTACATGTGGTAAAAAAGTCATAATAGATGAAACCACAATGGTTCTGTTCCGATTTTTGAATTTTGAGAACACCATTAATCGACCATGTGGCCTAATGGATAAGGCGTCAGACCTCGAATCAGAAGATTCAGAGTCCGAGTCCCTTCATGTTACCCTTTTCATGGTTTCACTTTGTCAGCATTTTTACATGTGGTAAAAAAGTCATAATAGATGAAACCACAATGGTTCTGTTCCGATTTTTGAATTTTGAGAACACCATTAATCGACCATGTGGCCTAATGGATAAGGCGTCAGACTTCGAATCAGAAGATTCAGAGTCCGAGTCCCTTCATGGTTACAGCCTGCCTTTTCTGCTAATGGTATGTTCTCGTCCGGGTTCCCAGTCATTTTTACATGTGGTAAAAACGTCATAATAGATGAAACCACAATGGTTCTGTTCCGATTTTTGAATTTTGAGAACATCATTAATCGACCATGTGGCCTAATGGATAAGGCGTCAGACCTCGAATCAGAAGATTCAGAGTCCGAGTCCCTTCATGGTTACTGTCAGCCTTTTCTGCTAATGGTACATTCTCGTTTGCAAATCCAAAGACTTTTTTACATGTGGTAAAAACGTCATAATAGATGAAACCACAATGGTTCTGTTCCGATTTTTGAATTTTGAGAAGACCATCAATCGACCATGTGGCCTAATGGATAAGGCGTCTGACTTCGAATCAGAAGATTCAGAGTCCGAGTCCCTTCATGGTTACTGTCAGCCTTTTCTGCTAATGGTATGTTCTCGTTTGGGTTCCCAGTCATTTTTACATGTGGTAAAAAAGTCATAATAGATGAAACCACAATGGTTCTGTTCCGATTTTTGAATTTTGAGAACATCAATACCATGTGGCCTAATGGATAAGGCGTCTGACTTGAATCAGAAGATTCAGAGTCCGAGTCCCTTCATGGTTACTGTCAGCATTTACATGTGGTAAAAACGTCATAATAGATGAAACCACAATGGTTCTGTTCCGATTTTTGAATTTTGAGAACATCATTAATCGACCATGTGGCCTAATGGATAAGGCGTCAGACCTCGAATCAGAAGATTCAGAGTCCGAGTCCCTTCCCTTCCATTCTGTTCCGGTTACTGTCAGCCTTTTACTGCTGCTGCTAATGGTACATTCACGTTTGCATATCCAAAGACTTTTTACATGTGGTAAAAACGTCATAATAGATGAAACCACAACAGTTCTGTTCCGATTTTTGAATTTTGAGAGGACCATTAATCGACCATGTGGCCTAATGGATAAGGCGTCTGACTTCGAATCAGAAGATTCAGAGTCCGAGTCCCTTCATGGTTACTGTCAGCCTTTTCTGCTAATGGTACATTCTCGTCCGGGTTCCAAAGACTTTTTTACATGTGGTAAAAACGTCATAATAGATGAAACCACAATGGTTCTGTTCCGATTTTTGAATTTTGAGAACCATTAATCGACCATGTGGCCTAATGGATAAGGCGTCTGACTTCGAATCAGAAGATTCAGAGTCGAGTCCCTTCATGGTTACTGTTACCTTTTCTGCTAATGGTACATTCTCGTTTGCAAATCCAAAGACTTTTTACATGTGGTAAAAACGTCATAATAGATGAAACCACAATGGTTCTGTTCCGATTTTTGAATTTTGAGAACACCATTAATCGACCATGTGGCCTAATGGATAAGGTCTGACTTCGAATCAGAAGATTCAGAGTCCGAGTCCCTTCATGGTTACTGTCAGCCTTTTCTGCTTGGTACATTCTCGTTTGCAAATCCAAAGACTTTTTTACATGTGGTAAAAACTCATAATAGATGAAACCACAATAATGGTTTTGAGAACACAATCGACCATGTGGCCTAATGGATAAGGCGTCCTCGAATCAGACTTGCCTTTTCTGCTAATGGTACATTCACGTTTGCATATCAAAAAACGTCACTTTTTACATGGTACCATTCGACCATGTGGCCTAATGGATAAGAAGTTTGCAAATCCAAATTCAACATGTGGTAAAAACGTCATAATAGATGAAACCACAATGGTTCTGTTCCGATTTTTGAATTTTGAGAAGACCATCAATCGACCATGTGGCCTAATGGATAAGGCGTCTGACTTCGAATCAGAAGATTGAGGGTTCGAGTCCCTTCATGGTTACAGCTTGCCTTTTCTGCTAATGGTATGTTCTCGTCCGGGTTCCCAGTCATTTTTACATGTGGTAAAAAAGTCATAATAGATGAAACCACAATGGTTCTGTTCCGATTTTTGAATTTTGAGAACATCATTAATCGACCATGTGGCCTAATGGATAAGGCGTCAGACCTCAAATCAGAAGATTCAGAGTCCGAGTCCCTTCATGGTTACTGTCAGCCTTTTCTGCTAATGGTACATTCACGTTTGCATATCCAAAGACTTTTTACATGTGGTAAAAACGTCATAATAGATGAAACCACAATGGTTCTGTTCCGATTTTTGAATTTTGAGAGGACCATTAATCGACCATGTGGGCTAATGGATAAGAAGTCTGACTTCGAATCAGAAGATTCAGAGTCCGAGTCCCTTCATGGTTACTGTCAGCATTTTCTGCTAATGGTACATTCACGTTTGCATATCCAAAGACTTTTTACATGTGGTAAAAACGTCATAATAGATGAAACCACAATGGTTCTGTTCCGATTTTTGAATTTTGAGAAAGAAGTCACCATTAATCGACCATGTGGCCTAATGGATAAGGCGTCTGTTCCGAGACTCGAATCAGAAGATTGAGATTCAGAGTCCGAGTCCCTTCATGGTTACTGCAGCCTTTTCTGCTAATGGTACATTCTCGTTTGCAAATCCAAAGACTTTTTACATGTGGTAAAAACGTCATAATAGATGAAACCACAATGGTTCTGTTCCGATTTTTGAATTTTGAGAACATCATTAATCGACCATGTGGCCTAATGGATAAGGCGTCAGACCTCGAATCAGAAGATTCAGAGTCCGAGTCCCTTCATGGTTACTGTCAGCCTTTTCTGCTAATGGTACATTCACGTTTGCATATCCAAAGACTTTTTACATGTGGTAAAAACGTCATAATAGATGAAACCACAATGGTTCTGTTCCAGTCCATTTTTGGATAAGGCGTCACTTCGAATCAGAAGATTCAGAGTCCCCGAGTCCCTTCATGGTTACAGCCTGCCTTTTCTGCTAATGGTATGTTCTCGTCCGGGTTCCCAGTCATTTTTACATGTGGTAAAAACGTCATAATAGAAAACCACAATGGTTCTGTTCCGATTTTTGAATTTTGAGAACATCATTAATCGACCATGTGGCCTAATGGATAAGGCGTCAGACTTCGAATCAGAAGATTCAGAGTCCGAGTCCCTTCATGGTTACTGTCAGCCTTTTTCTGCTAATGGTACATTCACGTTTGCATATCCAAAGACTTTTTTTTTTACATGTGGTAAAAACGTCATAATAGATGAAACCACAATGGTTCTGTTCCGATTTTTGAATTTTGAGAAGACCATTAATCGACCATGTGGCCTAATGGATAAGGCGTCTGACTTCGAATCAGAAGATTCAGAGTCCGAGTCCCTTCATGGTTACTGTCAGCCTTTTCTGCTAATGGTACATTCACGTTTGCATATCCAAAGACTTTTTTACATGTGGTAAAAACGTCATAATAGATGAAACCACAATGGTTCTGTTCCGATTTTTGAATTTTGAGAGGACCATTAATCGACCATGTGGGCTAATGGATAAGAAGTCTGACTTCGAATCAGAAGATTCAGAGTCCGAGTCCCTTCATGGTTACTGTCAGCCTTTTCTGCTAATGGTACATTCTCGTTTGCAATCCAAAGACTTTTTACATGTGGTAAAAACGTCATAATAGATGAAACCACAATGGTTCTGTTCCGATTTTTTAATTTTGAGAGGACCATTAATCGACCATGTGGGCTAATGGATAAGAAGTCTGACTTCGAATCAGAAGATTCAGAGTCCGAGTCCCTTCATGGTTACTGCCTGCCTTTTCTGCTAATGGTATTTTCTCGTCCGGGTTCCTAGTCATTTTTACATGTGGTAAAAAAGTCATAATAGATGAAACCACAATGGTTCTGTTCCGATTTTAGAATTTTGAGAACACCATTAATCGACCATGTGGCCTAATGGATAAGGCGTCAGACCTCAATCAGAAGATTCAGAGTCCGAGTCCCTTCATGGTTACTGTCAGCCTTTTCTGCTAATGGTACATTCTCGTTTGCAAATCCAAAGACTTTTTTACATGTGGTAAAAACGTCATAATAGATGAAACCACAATGGTTCTGTTCCGATTTTTGAATTTTGAGAAGACCATCAATCGACCATGTGGCCTAATGGATAAGGCGTCTGACTTCGAATCAGAAGATTGAGGGTTCGAGTCCCTTCATGGTTACAGCTTGCCTTTTCTGCTAATGGTATGTTCTCGTCCGGGTTCCCAGTCATTTTTACATGTGGTAAAAAAGTCATAATAGATGAAACCACAATGGTTCTGTTCCGATTTTTTGAATTTTGAGAACATCATTAATCGACCATGTGGCCTAATGGATAAGAGAACATCGTCAGACTCGAATCAGAAGATTCAGAGTCTGAGTCCCTTCATGGTTACTGTCAGCCTTTTCTGCTAATGGTACATTCACGTTTGCATATCCAAAGACTTTTTTACATGTGGTAAAAACGTCATAATAGATGAAACCACAATGGTTCTGTTCCTATTTTTGAGAAGACCATCAATCGACCATGTGGCCTAATGGATAAGGCGTCTGACTTCGAATCAGAAGATTCAGAGTCCGAGTCCCTTCATGGTTACAGCCTGCCTTTTCTGCTAATGGTATGTTCTCGTCCGGGTTCCCAGTCATTTTTACATGTGGTAAAAACGTCATAATAGATGAAACCACAATGGTTCTGTTCCGATTTTTGAATTTTGAGAACATCATTAATCGACCATGTGGCCTAATGGATAAGGCGTCAGACCTCGAATTAGAAGATTCAGAGTCCGAGTCCCTTCATGGTTACTGTCAGCCTTTTCTGCTAATGGTACATTCACGTTTGCATATCCAAAGACTTTTTTACATGTGGTAAAAACGTCATAATAGATGAAACCACAACAGTTCTGTTCCGATTTTTGAATTTTGAGAGGACCATTAATCGACCATGTGGGCTAATGGATAAGAAGTCTGACTTCGAATCAGAAGATTCAGAGTCCGAGTCCCTTCATGGTTACTGTCAGCCTTTTCTGCTAATGGTACATTCTCGTTTGCAAATCCAAAGACTTTTTTACATGTGGTAAAAACGTCATAATAGATGAAACCACAATGGTTCTGTTCCGATTTTTGAATTTTGAGAGGACCATTAATCGACCATGTGGGCTAATGGATAAGAAGTCTGACTTCGAATCAGAAGATTCCGAGTCCCTTCATGGTTACTGTCAGCCTTTTCTGCTAATGGTACATTCTCGTTTGCAAATCCAAAGACTTTTTTTACATGTGGTAAAAAATTCATAATAGATGAAACCACAATGGTTCTGTTCCGATTTTTGAATTTTGAGAAGACCATTAATCGACCATGTGGCCTAATGGATAAGGCGTCTGACTTCGAATCAGAAGATTGAGGGTTCGAGTCCCTTCATGGTTACAGCCTGCCTTTTCTGCTAATGGTATGTTCTCGTCCGGGTTCCCAGTCATTTTTACATGTGGTAAAAAAGTCATAATAGATGAAACCACAATGGTTCTGTTCCGATTTTTGAATTTTGAGAACATCATTAATCGACCACGTGGCCTAATGGATAAGGCGTCAGACCTCAAATCAGAAGATTCAGAGTCCGAGTCCCTTCATGGTTACTGTCAGCCTTTTCTGCTAATGGTACATTCTCGTTTGCAAATCCAAAGACTTTTTTACATGTGGTAAAAACGTCATAATAGATGAAACCACAATGGTTCTGTTCCGATTTTTGAATTTTGAGAAGACCATTAATCGACCATGTGGCCTAATGGATAAGGCGTCTGACTTCGAATCAGAAGATTGAGGGTTCGAGTCCATTTTCTGCTTCATGATGAAACCACAAAGGTTACAGCCTGCCTTTTCTGCTAATGGTATGTTCCCTTCCCAGTCATTTTTACATGTTAAAAAGTCTAATAGATCCACAATGGTTCTGTTCCGATTTTTGAATTTTGAGAACACATTAATCGACCATGTGGCCTAATGGATAAGGCGTCAGACTTCGAATCAGAAGATTCAGAGTCTGAGTCCCTTCATGGTTACTGTCAGCCTTTTCTGCTAATGGTACATTCATTTGCAAATCAAAGACTTTAGAACCATTGTGGTTTCATCTGACGTTTTTTATTATGACGTTTTTACCATGTAAAAAGTCTTTGGATATGCAAACGAGAATGTACCATTAGCAGAAAAGGCTGACAGTAACCATGAAGGGACTCGGACTCTGAATCTTCTGATTCGAGGTCTGACGCCTTATCCATTAGGCCACATGGTCGATTAATGGTGTTCTCAAAATTCAAAAATCGGAACAGAACCATTGTGGTTTCATCTATTATGACGTTTTTACCACATGTAAAAATGACTTTGGGAACCCGGACGAGAACATGTACCATTAGCAGAAAAGGCAGACTGTAACCATGAAGGGACTCGGACTCTGAATCTTCTGATTCGAAGTCAGACTTCCTTATCCATTAGGCCACATGGTCGATTAATGGTCTTCTCAAAATTCAAAAATCGGAACAGAACCATTGTGGTTTCATCTATTATGACGTTTTTACCACATGTAAAAAGTCTTTGGATATGCAAACGTGAATGTACCATTAGCAGAAAAGGCTGACAGTAACCATGAAGGGACTCGGACTCTGAATCTTCTGATTCGAGGTCTGACGCCTTATCCATTAGGCCACATGGTCGATTAATGGTGTTCTCAAATTCAAAAATCGGAACAGAACCATTGTGGTTTCATCTATTATGACGTTTTTACCACATGTAAAAATGACTTTGGAACCAAACGGACGAAACATACCATTAGCAGAAAAGGCAGACTGTAACCATGAAGGGACTCGGACTCTGAATCTTCTGATTCGAAGTCAGACGCCTTATCCATTAGGCCACATGGTCGATTGATGGTCTTCTCAAAATTCAAAAATCGGAACAGAACCATTGTGGTTTCATCTATTATGACGTTTTTACCACATGTAAAAAGTCTTTGGATTTGCAAACGTAACCATTAGCAGAAAAGGCTGACAGTAACCATGAAGGGACTCGGACTCTGAATCTTCTGATTCGAGGTCTGACGCCTTATCCATTAGGCCACATGGTCGATTAATGGTGTTCTCAAAATTCAAAAATCGGAACAGAACCATTGTGGTTTCATCTATTATGACGTTTTTACCACATGTAAAAATGACTGGGAACCCGGACGAGAACATACCATTAGCAGAAAAGGCAGGCTGTAACCATGAAGGGACTCGGACTCTGAATCTTCTGATTCGAAGTCCAGACGCCTTATCCATTAGGCCACATGGTCGATTAATGGTCTTCTCAAAATTCAAAAATCGGAACAGAACCATTGTGGTTTCATCTATTATGACGTTTTTACCACATGTAAAAAAGTCTTTGGATTTGCAAACGAGAATGTACCATTAGCAGAAAAGGCTGACAGTAACCATGAAGGGACTCGGACTCTGAATCTTCTGATTCGAGGTCTGACGCCTTATCCATTAGGCCACATGGTCGATTAATGGTCCTCTCAAAATTCAAAAATCGGAACAGAACCATTGTGGTTTCATCTATTATGACGTTTTTACCACATGTAAAAAGTCTTTGGATATGCAAACGAGAATGTACCATTAGCAGAAAAGGCTGACAGTAACCATGAAGGGACTCGGACTCTGAATCTTCTGATTCGAAGTCAGACGCCTTATCCATTAGGCCACATGGTCGATTAATGGTCCTCTCAAAATTCAAAAATCGGAACAGAACCATTGTGGTTTCATCTATTATGACGTTTTTACCACATGTAAAAAAGTCTTTGGATATGCAAACGTGAATGTACCATTAGCAGAAAAGGCTGACAGTAACCATGAAGGGACTCGGACTCTGAATCTTCTGATTCGAGGTCTGACGCCTTATCCATTAGGCCACATGGTCGATTAATGGTGTTCTCAAAATTCAAAAATCGGAACAGAACCATTGTGGTTTCATCTATTATGACGTTTTTACCACATGTAAAAATGACTGGGAACCCGGAAACGAGAACATACCATTAGCAGAAAAGGCAGGCTGTAACCATGAAGGGACTCGGACTCTGAATCTTCTGATTCGAAGTCAGACGCCTTATCCATTAGGCCACATGGTCGATTGATGGTCTTCTCAAAATTCAAAAATCGGAACAGAACCATTGTGGTTTCATCTATTATGACGTTTTTACCACATGTAAAAAGTCTTTGGATATGCAAACGTGAATGTACCATTAGCAGAAAAGGCTGAAGTAACCATGAAGGGACTCGGACTCTGAATCTTCTGATTCGAGGTCTGACGCCTTATCCATTAGGCCACATGGTCGATTAATGGTGTTCTCAAAATTCAAAAATCGGAACAGAACCATTGTGGTTTCATCTATTATGACGTTTTTACCACATGTAAAAATGACTGGGAACCCGGACGAGAACATACCATTAGCAGAAAAGGCAAGCTGTAACCATGAAGGGACTCGGAACCCTGAATCTTCTGATTCTTCTGATTCGTCAGACGCCTTATCCATTAGGCCACATGGTCGATTGATGGTCTTCTCAAAATTCAAAAATCGGAACAGAACCATTGTGGTTTCATCTATTATGACGTTTTTACCACATGTAAAAAGTCTTTGGATTTGCAAACGAGAATGTACCATTAGCAGAAAAGGCTGACGTAACCATGAAGGGACTCGGACTCTGAATCTTCTGATTCGAGGTCTGACGCCTTATCCATTAGGCCACATGGTCGATTAATGATGTTCTCAAAATTCAAAAATCGGAACAGAACCATTGTGGTTTCATCTATTATGACTTTTTTACCACATGTAAAAATGACTGGGAACCCGGACGAGAACATACCATTAGCAGAAAAGGCAGGCTGTAACCATGAAGGGACTCGACTCTGAATCTTCTGATTCGAAGTCAGACGCCTTATCCATTAGGCCACATGGTCGATTAATGGTCTTCTCAAAATTCAAAAATCGGAACAGAACCATTGTGGTTTCATCTATTATGACGTTTTTACCACATGTAAAAAAAAAATCGTCTTTGGATTTGCAAACGAGAATGTACCATTAGCAGAAAAGGCTGACAGTAACCATGAAGGGACTCGGACTCTGAATCTTCTGATTCGAAGTCAGACGCCTTATCCATTAGGCCACATGGTCGATTTATGGTCCTCTCAAAATTCAAAAATCGGAACAGAACCATTGTGGTTTCATCTATTATGACGTTTTTACCACATGTAAAAAGTCTTTGGATATGCAAACGAGAATGTACCATTAGCAGAAAAGGCTGACAGTAACCATGAAGGGACTCGGACTCTGAATCTTCTGATTCGAAGTCAGACGCCTTATCCATTAGGCCACATGGTCGATTAATGGTCCTTCTCAAAATTCAAAAATCGGAACAGAACCATTGTGGTTTCATCTATTATGACGTTTTTACCACATGTAAAAAGTCTTTGGATATGCAAACGTGAATGTACCATTAGCAGAAAAGGCTGACAGTAACCATGAAGGGACTCGGACTCTGAATCTTCTGATTCGAGGTCTGACGCCTTATCCATTAGGCCACATGGTCGATTAATGGTGTTCTCAAAATTCAAAAATCGGAACAGAACCATTGTGGTTTCATCTATTATGACGTTTTTACCACATGTAAAAATGACTGGGAACCCGGACGAGAACATACCATTAGCAGAAAAGGCAGGCTGTAACCATGAAGGGACTCGGACTCTGAATCTTCTGATTCGAAGTCAGACGCCTTATCCATTAGGCCACATGGTCGATTGATGGTCTTCTCAAAATTCAAAAATCGGAACAGAACCATTGTGGTTTCATCTATTATGACGTTTTTACCACATGTAAAAAAGTCTTTGGATATGCAAACGTGAATGTACCATTAGCAGAAAAGGCTGACAGTAACCATGAAGGGACTCGGACTCTGAATCTTCTGATTCGAAGTCAGACGCCTTATCCATTAGGCCACATGGTCGATTAATGGTCCTCTCAAAATTCAAAAATCGGAACAGAACCATTGTGGTTTCATCTATTATGACGTTTTTACCACATGTAAAAAAGTCTTTGGATATGCAAACGTGAATGTACCATTAGCAGAAAAGGCTGACAGTAACCATGAAGGGACTCGGACTCTGAATCTTCTGATTCGAGGTCTGACGCCTTATCCATTAGGCCACATGGTCGATTAATGGTCCTCTCAAAATTCAAAAATCGGAACAGAACCATTGTGGTTTCATCTATTATGACGTTTTTACCACATGTAAAAAAGTCTTTGGATATGCAAACGAGAATGTACCATTAGCAGAAAAGGCTGACAGTAACCATGAAGGGACTCGGACTCTGAATCTTCTGATTCGAAGTCAGACTTATCCATTATCCATTAGGCCACATGGTCGATTAATGGTCTTCTCAAAATTCAAAAATCGGAACAGAACCATTGTGGTTTCATCTATTATGACGTTTTTACCACATGTAAAAAAGTCTTTGGATATGCAAACGTGAATGTACCATTAGCAGAAAAGGCTGACAGTAACCATGAAGGGACTCGGACTCTGAATCTTCTGATTCGAGTCTGACGCCTTATCCATTAGGCCACATGGTCGATTAATGGTGTTCTCAAAATTCAAAAATCGGAACAGAACCATTGTGGTTTCATCTATTATGACTTTTTTACCACATGTAAAAATGACTGGGAACCCGGACGAGAACATACCATTAGCAGAAAAGGCAAGCTGTAACCATGAAGGGACTCGAACCCTCAATCTTCTGATTCGAAGTCAGACGCCTTATCCATTAGGCCACATGGTCGATTGATGGTCTTCTCAAAATTCAAAAATCGGAACAGAACCATTGTGGTTTCATCTATTATGACGTTTTTACCACATGTAAAAAGTCTTTGGATTTGCAAACGAGAATGTACCATTAGCAGAAAAGGCTGACAGTAACCATGAAGGGACTCGGACTCTGAATCTTCTGATTTGAGGTCTGACGCCTTATCCATTAGGCCACGTGGTCGATTAATGATGTTCTCAAAATTCAAAAATCGGAACAGAACCATTGTGGTTTCATCTATTATGACTTTTTTACCACATGTAAAAATGACTGGGAACCCGGACGAGAACATACCATTAGCAGAAAAGGCAGGCTGTAACCATGAAGGGACTCGAACCCTCAATCTTCTGATTCGAAGTCAGACGCCTTATCCATTAGGCCACATGGTCGATTGATGGTCTTCTCAAAATTCAAAAATCGGAACAGAACCATTGTGGTTTCATCTATTATGACGTTTTTACCACATGTAAAAAAGTCTTTGGATTTGCAAACGTGAATGTACCATTAGCAGAAAAGGCTGACAGTAACCATGAAGGGACTCGGACTCTGAATCTTCTGATTCGAAGTCAGACTTCTTATCCATTAGCCCACATGGTCGATTAATGGTCCTCTCAAAATTCAAAAATCGGAACAGAACCATTGTGGTTTCATCTATTATGACGTTTTTACCACATGTAAAAAAGTCTTTGGATATGCAAACGTGAATGTACCATTAGCAGAAAAGGCTGACAGTAACCATGAAGGGACTCGGACTCTGAATCTTCTGATTCGAGGTCTGACGCCTTATCCATTAGGCCACATGGTCGATTAATGGTGTTCTCAAAATTCAAAAATCGGAACAGAACCATTGTGGTTTCATCTATTATGACGTTTTTACCACATGTAAAAATGACTGGGAACCCGGACGAGAACATACCATTAGCAGAAAAGGCAGGCTGTAACCATGAAGGGACTCGGACTCTGAATCTTCTGATTCGAAGTCAGACGCCTTATCCATTAGGCCACATGGTCGATTGATGGTCTTCTCAAAAATCGGAACAGAACCATTGTGGTTTCATCTATTATGACGTTTTTTCACCACATGTAAAAAGTCTTTGGATATGCAAACGTGAATGTACCATTAGCAGAAAAGGCTGACAGTAACCATGAAGGGACTCGGACTCTGAATCTTCTGATTCGAGGTCTGACGCCTTATCCATTAGGCCACATGGTCGATTAATGGTGTTCTCAAAATTCAAAAATCGGAACAGAACCATTGTGGTTTCATCTATTATGACGTTTTTACCACATGTAAAAATGACTGGGAACCCGGACGAGAACATACCATTAGCAGAAAAGGCAAGCTGTAACCATGAAGGGACTCGGACTCTGAATCTTCTGATTCGAAGTCAGACGCCTTATCCATTAGGCCACATGGTCGATTGATGGTCTTCTCAAAATTCAAAAATCGGAACAGAACCATTGTGGTTTCATCTATTATGACGTTTTTACCACATGTAAAAAAGTCTTTGGATTTGCAAACGAGAATGTACCATTAGCAGAAAAGGCTGACAGTAACCATGAAGGGACTCGGACTCTGAATCTTCTGATTCGAGGTCTGACGCCTTATCCATTAGGCCACATGGTCGATTAATGATGTTCTCAAAATTCAAAAATCGGAACAGAACCATTGTGGTTTCATCTATTATGACTTTTTACCACCACATGTAAAAATGACTGGGAACCCGGACGAGAACATACCATTAGCAGAAAAGGCAGGCTGTAACCATGAAGGGACTCGAACCCTCAATCTTCTGATTCGAAGTCAGACGCCTTATCCATTAGGCCACATGGTCGATTAATGGTCTTCTCAAAATTCAAAAATCGGAACAGAACCATTGTGGTTTCATCTATTATGACTTTTTTACCACATGTAAAAAAAGTCTTTGGATTTGCAAACGTGAATGTACCATTAGCAGAAAAGGCTGACAGTAACCATGAAGGGACTCGGACTCTGAATCTTCTGATTCGAAGTCAGACGCCTTATCCATTAGGCCACATGGTCGATTAATGGTCCTCTCAAAATTCAAAAATCGGAACAGAACCATTGTGGTTTCATCTATTATGACGTTTTTACCACATGTAAAAAGTCTTTGGATTTGAAACGAGAATGTACCATTAGCAGAAAAGGCTGACAGTAACCATGAAGGGACTCGGACTCTGAATCTTCTGATTCGAAGTCAGACTTCTTATCCATTAGCCCACATGGTCGATTAATGGTCCTCTCAAAATTCAAAAATCGGAACAGAACCATTGTGGTTTCATCTATTATGACGTTTTTACCACATGTAAAAAGTCTTTGGATATGCAAACGTGAATGTACCATTAGCAGAAAAGGCTGACAGTAACCATGAAGGGACTCGGACTCTGAATCTTCTGATTCGAGGTCTGACGCCTTATCCATTAGGCCACATGGTCGATTAATGATGTTCTCAAAATTCAAAAATCGGAACAGAACCATTGTGGTTTCATCTATTATGACGTTTTTACCACATGTAAAAATAACTGGGAACCTGTAACGAAGGGACTCCATTCCATTAGCAGAAAAGGCCAGGCTGTAACAAAAATCGGACAGTAACCATGAACCATGAAGGGACTCGAATCTGATTCTGATTCGAAGTCAGACGCCTTATCCATTAGGCCACATGGTCGATTGATGGTCCAAAATTCAAAAATCGGAACAGAACCATTGTGGTTTCATCTATTATGACGTTTTTACCACATGTAAAAATGTCTTTGGAACCCGCAAACGAAATGTACCATTAGCAGAAAAGGCTGACAGTAACCATGAAGGGACTCGGACTCTGAATCTTCTGATTCGAAGTCAGACGCCTTATCCATTAGGCCACATGGTCGATTAATGGTCTTCTCAAAATTCAAAAATCGGAACAGAACCATTGTGGTTTCATCTATTATGACGTTTTTACCACATGTAAAAAGTCTTTGGATATAAAACGTGAATGTACCATTAGCAGAAAAGGCTGACAGTAACCATGAAGGGACTCGGACTCTGAATCTTCTGATTCGAGGTCTGACGCCTTATCCATTAGGCCACATGGTCGATTAATGATGTTCTCAAAATTCAAAAATCGGAACAGAACCATTGTGGTTTCATCTATTATGACGTTTTTACCACATGTAAAAATGACTTTGGAACCCGGACGAGAACATACCATTAGCAGAAAAGGCAGGCTGTAACCATGAAGGGACTCGGACTCTGAATCTTCTGATTCGAAGTCAGACGCCTTATCCATTAGGCCACATGGTCGATTGATGGTCTTCTCAAAATTCAAAAATCGGAACAGAACCATTGTGGTTTCATCTATTATGACGTTTTTACCACATGTAAAAAGTCTTTGGATATGCAAACGAGAATGTACCATTAGCAGAAAAGGCTGACAGTAACCATGAAGGGACTCGGACTCTGAATCTTCTGATTCGAGGTCTGACGCCTTATCCATTAGGCCACATGGTCGATTAATGGTGTTCTCAAAATTCAAAAATCGGAACAGAACCATTGTGGTTTCATCTATTATGACTTTTTTACCACATGTAAAAATGACTGGGAACCCGGACGAGAACATACCATTAGCAGAAAAGGCAAGCTGTAACCATGAAGGGACTCGAACCCTCAATCTTCTGATTCGAAGTCAGACGCCTTATCCATTAGGCCACATGGTCGATTGATGGTCTTCTCAAAATTCAAAAATCGGAACAGAACCATTGTGGTTTCATCTATTATGACGTTTTTACCACATGTAAAAAAAAAGGCTGACTTTGGATTTGCAAACGAGAATGTACCATTAGCAGAAAAGGCTGACAGTAACCATGAAGGGACTCGGACTCTGAATCTTCTGATTCGAGGTCTGACGCCTTATCCATTAGGCCACATGGTCGATTAATGATGTTCTCAAAATTCAAAAATCGGAACAGAACCATTGTGGTTTCATCTATTATGACGTTTTTACCACATGTAAAAATGACTGGGAACCCGGACGAGAACATACCATTAGCAGAAAAGGCAGGCTGTAACCATGAAGGGACTCGGACTCTGAATCTTCTGATTCGAAGTCAGACGCCTTATCCATTAGGCCACAGGCCACATGGTCGATTGATGGTCTTCTCAAAATTCAAAAATCGGAACAGAACCATTGTGGTTTCATCTATTATGACGTTTTTACCACATGTAAAAAAAAATCGGAACAGCTTTGGATTTGCAAACGTAACCATTAAGAAAAGGCTGAAGGGACTCAGTAACCATGAAGGGACTCGGACTCTGAATCTTCTGATTCGAAGTCAGACGCCTTATCCATTAGGCCACATGGTCGATTAATGGTCCTTCTCAAAATTCAAAAATCGGAACAGAACCATTGTGGTTTCATCTATTATGACGTTTTTACCACATGTAAAAAAAAGTCTTTGGATATGCAAACGTGAATGTACCATTAGCAGAAAAGGCTGACAGTAACCATGAAGGGACTCGGACTCTGAATCTTCTGATTCGAGGTCTGACGCCTTATCCATTAGGCCACATGGTCGATTAATGGTGTTCTCAAAATTCAAAAATCGGAACAGAACCATTGTGGTTTCATCTATTATGACGTTTTTACCACATGTAAAAATGACTGGGAACCCGGACGAGAACATACCATTAGCAGAAAAGGCAGGAAAAGGCAGGCTGTAACCATGAAGGGACTCGGACTCTGAATCTTCTGATTCGAAGTCAGACGCCTTATCCATTAGGCCACATGGTCGATTGATGGTCTTCTCAAAATTCAAAAATCGGAACAGAACCATTGTGGTTTCATCTATTATGACGTTTTCTGACCTTCTGACATGTAAAAAATCTATTATGACGTTTTTACCACATGTAAAAAGTCTTTGTTAGCAGAAAAGGCTGACAGTAACCATGAAGGGACTCGGACTCTGAATCTTCTGATTCGAAGTCAGACTTCTTATCCATTAGGCCACATGGTCGATTAATGGTCCTCTCAAAATTCAAAAATCGGAACAGAACCATTGTGGTTTCATCTATTATGATAAAAAGTCTTTGGATATGCAAACGTGAATGTACCATTAGCAGAAAAGGCTGACAGACAGTAACCATGAAGGGACTCAGACTCTGAATCTTCTGATTCGAAGTCAGACGCCTTATCCATTAGGCCACATGGTCGATTAATGGTGTTCTCAAAATTCAAAAATCGGAACAGAACTATTGTGGTTTCATCTATTATGACTTTTTTACCACATGTAAAAATGACTGGGAACCCGGACGAGAACATACCATTAGCAGAAAAGGCAGGCTGTAACCATGAAGGGACTCGAACCCTCAATCTTCTGATTCGAAGTCAGACGCCTTATCCATTAGGCCACATGGTCGATTGATGGTCTTCTCAAAATTCAAAAATCGGAACAGAACCATTGTGGTTTCATCTATTATGACGTTTTTACCACATGTAAAAAAGTCTTTGGATTTGCAAACGAGAATGTACCATTAGCAGAAAAGGCTGACAGTAACCATGAAGGGACTCGGACTCTGAATCTTCTGATTCGAGGTCTGACGCCTTATCCATTAGGCCACATGGTCGATTAATGATGTTCTCAAAATTCAAAAATCGGAACAGAACCATTGTGGTTTCATCTATTATGACTTTTTTACCACATGTAAAAATGACTGGGAACCCGGACGAGAACATACCATTAGCAGAAAAGGCAGGCTGTAACCATGAAGGGACTCGAACCCTCAATCTTCTGATTCGAAGTCAGACGCCTTATCCATTAGGCCACATGGTCGATTGATGGTCTTCTCAAAATTCAAAAATCGGAACAGAACCATTGTGGTTTCATCTATTATGACGTTTTTACCACATGTAAAAAAGTCTTTGGATTTGCAAACGAGAATGTACCATTAGCAGAAAAGGCTGACAGTAACCATGAAGGGACTCGGACTCTGAATCTTCTGATTCGAGGTCTGACGCCTTATCCATTAGGCCACATGGTCGATTAATGGTCCTCTCAAAATTCAAAAATCGGAACAGAACCATTGTGGTTTCATCTATTATGACGTTTTTACCACATGTAAAAAGTCTTTGGATATGCAAACGTGAATGTACCATTAGCAGAAAAGGCTGACAGTAACCATGAAGGGACTCGGACTCTGAATCTTCTGATTCGAAGTCAGACGCCTTATCCATTAGGCCACATGGTCGATTAATGGTCCTCTCAAAATTCAAAAATCGGAACAGAACCATTGTGGTTTCATCTATTATGACGTTTTTACCACATGTAAAAAAGTCTTTGGATATGCAAACGTGAATGTACCATTAGCAGAAAAGGCTGACAGTAACCATGAAGGGACTCGGACTCTCTATTATGAATCTTTAGCAGAAAAGGCTGACAGTAACCATGAAGGGACTCGAAATCTTCTGATTCGAAGTCAGACGCCTTATCCATTAGATTCGAAGACTTCTTATCCATTAGGCCACATGGTCGATTAATGGTCCTCTCAAAATTCAAAAATCGGAACAGAACCATTGTGGTTTCATCTATTATGACGTTTTTACCACATGTAAAAAGTCTTTGGATATGCAAACGTATGAATGTGTACCATTAGCAGAAAAGGCTGACAGTAACCATGAAGGGACTCGGACTCTGAATCTTCTGATTCGAGGTCTGACGCCTTATCCATTAGGCCACATGGTCGATTAATGATGTTCTCAAAATTCAAAAATCGGAACAGAACCATTGTGGTTTCATCTATTATGACGTTTTTACCACATGTAAAAATGACTGGGAACCCGGACGAGAACATACCATTAGCAGAAAAGGCAGGCTGTAACCATGAAGGGACTCGGACTCTGAATCTTCTGATTCGAAGTCAGACGCCTTATCCATTAGGCCACATGGTCGATTGATGGTCTTCTCAAAATTCAAAAATCGGAACAGAACCATTGTGGTTTCATCTATTATGACGTTTTTACCACATGTAAATGCTGACAGTAACCATGAAGGGACTCGGACTCTGAATCTTCTGATTCGAGGTCTGACGCCTTATCCATTAGGCCACATGGTCGATTAATGGTGTTCTCAAAATTCAAAAATCGGAACAGAACCATTGTGGTTTCATCTATTATGACGTTTTTACCACATGTAAAAATGACTGGGAACCCGGACGAGAACATACCATTAGCAGAAAAGGCAAGCTGTAACCATGAAGGGACTCGAACCCTCAATCTTCTGATTCGAAGTCAGACGCCTTATCCATTAGGCCACATGGTCGATTGATGGTCTTCTCAAAATTCAAAAATCGGAACAGAACCATTGTGGTTTCATCTATTATGACGTTTTTACCACATGTAAAAAAGTCTTTGGATTTGCAAACGAGAATGTACCATTAGCAGAAAAGGCTGACAGTAACCATGAAGGGACTCGGACTCTGAATCTTCTGATTCGAGGTCTGACGCCTTATCCATTAGGCCACATGGTCGATTAATGGTGTTCTCAAAATTCAAAAATCGGAACAGAACCATTGTGGTTTCATCTATTATGACTTTTTACCACATGTAAAAATGACTGGGAACCCGGACGAGAACATACCATTAGCAGAAAAGGCAAGCTGTAACCATGAAGGGACTCGGACCCTGAATCTTCTGATTCGAAGTCAGACGCCTTATCCATTAGGCCACATGGTCGATTGATGGTCTTCTCAAAATTCAAAAATCGGAACAGAACCATTGTGGTTTCATCTATTATGACGTTTTTACCACATGTAAAAAAGTCTTTGGATTTGCAAACGAGAATGTACCATTAGCAGAAAAGGCTGACAGTAACCATGAAGGGACTCGGAATCTCTGAATCTGATTCACTATCTTTTTAGTATTTATCGCCGAGTGCGAAAAAACCACCGCACCGGGCGAGACTCGAACTCACAACCCCGGGATCTAACCGCAGCCATTGTCCTCGCGTCGCGTACACACCCTGAATTGAGCGGGTCCGAGTGACCCGCGATCCCATTTCGCAGCCCTGGGAGTTTTGCAAAAAGAGCAGGCCGAAATACAACTACGGCTGCGTGTTTCACCGTTGTCCATCTATTCTTACTACCTTTATTAGTATTTATCGGCGAGGGTGTAAAAACCACCGCCCGGGCGAGGCTCGAACTCGCCACCTCCGCATCTAACCCCGCCGTTGTCCTCGCGTCGCGTACAAAGCCCGAGTCGAGCGGGTCAGAGTGACCCCGATCTCTTTTCACAGCCCTCAAGAGTTTTGCAAAAAGAGGAGGCCGAAATACAACAACGTGCGCATGTTCCACCGTTGTCCATCTGTTTTTACTATCTTTTTAGTATTTATCGCCGAGTGTGAGAAAAACTACCGCAACGGGCGAGGCTCGAACTCACAACCCCGGGATTTAACCCTGACGTTGTCCTCGCGGCGCGTACACACCCCGAATTGAGCGGGTCAGAGTGACCCTCGTTCTCTTTTCACAGCCCTCAGAGTTTTGCAAAAAGGAGGAGGCCGAAATACAACAACGTGCGCATGTTTCACCGTTGTCAATCTGTTTTTACTATCTTTCTTAGTATTTATCGCCGAGTGTGAGAAAAACCACCGCAACGGGCGAGGCTCGAACTCACAACCCCGGGATCTAACCCCAGCCATTGTCCTCGCGTCGCGTACACACCCCGAATTGAGCGGGTCCGAGTAACCCGCGATCTCTTTTCACAGCCCTGGGAGTTTTGCAAAAAAGAGGAGGCCGAAATACAACGACGTGCGCGTGTTTCACCGTTGTCCATCTATTTTTACTACCTTTATTAGTATTTACACCTGCATCTTCCAGGCGTAGCTGGACCGCGCGTCGCAGCACACCCACGCCTTGATCCCGTACCTCGCCGGCTTGCTCGGCATGTACTGGCGAAACGGACAGCGACCTGGGGAAGACGGAGCACAAGGTTGAGCGACACACAGACATAGACACATACACACACACAGGCGCGCCGACCACTCGTCCCAGAGCTCTCGCACGGCGGCCAGTTTGTCGACTGCGCGCCTCGCGGGCCGCGTCTCGCGGTCGTCGAAGCGCAGCAGGCTCGAGTACGCGTAGAACACCTTGAGCGGCATGGTCGCGCGGAAAATTGGCCGTCCGCTCTCAGCGTCCCAGAGGCACGCCGCGGCCTCGCCCGGGACCTGTACACACCGGCCAGGATCAGCAGGCCCGCGTAGGCACGCAGGTCGACCGCGTCCATCCCGCGCCAGGCGTCTCCGTGTCGCCGAGAGCCCTCGCGGTTCGTGGCCTCCAGGACGATCGCCTCCACACGCGGCGTGATGAACAGGTTGAACGCCGAGGCGGTCGCACGCTCCCGCCGCCGCCTGCGCCGTCGGTCCCGCAACCGCCGTGACGTCCACCGGGCGGCGACCCTTGCCGCGCGCGACAGGGCACCGAGGACCACGCGATCTTGCCGTTCTTCGACAGGTAGATCTCGCCGTCGGCCCTCCTGTCCCCCGGGCGATCGTCGTCTGCCGCGCGTCCGCAACGTCCGGGGCCTCTTCGTCATCGACGGCGTCGTCGTGCTCCGGGTCGTACTCCTCGCCGTCCTCCTCTTCCGACACGTCCTCCTCGGGCCCCTCGTCCTCGGAGGCCACCATCTGCTCCAGGGCCTGTGTGGCCGTGAAGCCCTGTCGCGTCATGTCTCCCTCGGCAGAGGCCATGGTTTGTGCCTGTGTGACGCGAGACCCTGGCGGACGCCGCGCCGTTAGTAGACCTTGTGACGGACCCAAGGACAGCTGGGAGGAGACCGTGTTTCTGACACAAAAGACAGGGGGAAAGGCCAGGGACAGTGTGTTTCTGAGCCCAGAGGTCAGCGAGCAGGGCAAAAAACAGCTTGTGTTTCCTGGCACCCGAGTACAGCTGGGAGGAGAACATGTTTCTGACACACAAAGACAGGGGGAAAGGCCAGGGAAAGTGTGTTTCTGAGACCAGAGGGCAGCGAGCAGGACAAAAAGAGCTTGTGTTTCCTGGCACCCAAGTACCGCTGGTAGGAGAACGTGTTTCTGACACCCAAAGACAGGGGGAAAGGCCAGGGACAGTGTGTTTCTGAGCCCAGAGGTCAGCGAGCAGGGCAAAAAAGAGCTTGTGTTTCCTGGCACCCGAGAACAGCTGGGAGGAGAACGTGTTTCTGACACCCAAAGACAGGGGGAAAGGCCAGGGACAGTGTGTTTCTGAGACCAGAAAAGGACAGTGAGACCAGCAAAGGACAGTGTGTTTCTGAGACCAGAGGGCAGCGAGCAGGTCAAAAAAGAGTTTGTGTTTCTCGGGAGCCGAGAACAGCTGGGAGGAGAACGTGTTTCTGACGCCAGAAGACAGGGGAAAGGCCAAGGACAGTGTGTTTCTGAGCCCAGAGGTCAGCGAGCAGGATAAAAAAGAGCTTATGTTTCCCGGGACCCGAGTACAGCTGGGAGGAGAACGTGTTTCTGACACCCAAAGACAGCGGCGATAGCGAAGGACAGTGTGTTTCAGAGACCAGAGGGCAGCGAGCACGGCAAAAAGAGTTTGTGTTTCCCGGGAGCCGAGTACAGCTGGGAGGGGAACGTGATTCTGACACCCAAAGACAGGGGAAAGGCCAGGGACAGTGTGTTTCTGAGACCAGTGGGCAGCGAGCAGGGCAAAAAGAGCTTGTGTTTCCCGGGAGCCGAGTACAGCTGGGAGGAGAACGTGTTTCTGACACCCAAAGACTGTGGGAAAGGCCAGGGGCAGTGTGTTTCTGAGACCAGAAAAGGACAGTGAGACCAACAAAGGACAGTGTGTTTCTGAGCCCAGAGGTCAGCGAGCAGGGTAAAAAAAGAGCTTATGTTTCCCGGGACACGAGTACATCTGGGAGGAGAATGTGTTTCTGACACCCAAAGACAGCGGCGATAGCGAAGGACAGTGTGTTTCTGAGACCAGAGGGCAGCGAGCACGGCAAAAAGAGTTTGTGTTTCCCGGGCCGAGTACAGCTGGGAGGGGAACGTGATTCTGACACCCAAAGACAGGGGAAAGGCCAGGGACAGTGTGTTTCTGAGCCCAGAGGTCAGCGAGCAGGGTAAAAAAAGAGCTTATGTTTCCCGGGACACGAGTACATCTGGGAGGAGAACGTGTTTCTGACACCCAAAGACAGCGGCGATAGCGAAGGACAGTGTGTTTCTGAGCCCAGAGGGCAGCGAGCACGGCAAAAAGAGTTTGTGTTTCCCGGGAGCCGAGTACAGCTGGGAGGAGACCAGTGGGCAGCGAGCAGGGCAAAAAGAGCTTGTGTTTCCCGGGAGCCGAGTACATCTGGGAGGGGAACGTGTTTCTGACACCCAAAGACAGGGGGAAAGGCCAGGGACAGTGTGTTTCTGAGCCCAGAGGTCAGCGAGCAGGGCAAAAAGAACTTGTGTTTCCCGGGAGCCGAGTACAGCTGGGAGGAGAACGTGTTTCTGACACCAGAAGACAGGGGGAAAGGCCAAGGACAGTGTGTTTCTGAGACCAGTGGGCAGCGAGCAGGGCAAAAAAGAGCTTGTGTTTCCCGGGAGCCGAGTACAGCTGGGAGGAGAACGTGTTTCTGACACCAGAAGACAGGGGAAAGGCCGAGGACAGTGTGTTTCTGAGCCCAGAGGTCAGCGAGCAGGGCAAAAAAGAGCTTGTGTTTCCTGGCATCCGAGTACAGCTGGGAGGAGAACGTGTTTCTGACACCCAAAGACTGTGGGAAAGGCCAGGGACAGTGTGTTTCTGAGACCAGAAAAGGACAGTGAGACCAACAAAGGACAGTGTGTTTCTGAGCCCAGAGGTCAGCGAGCAGGGTAAAAAAAAGAGCTTATGTTTCCCGGGACACGAGTACATCTGGGAGGAGAATGTGTTTCTGACACCCAAAGACAGCGGCGATAGCGAAGGACAGTGTGTTTCTGAGACCAGAGGGCAGCGGGCACGGCAAAAAGAGTTTGTGTTTCCCGGGAGCCGAGTACAGCTGGGAGGGGAACGTGATTCTGACACCCAAAGACAGGGGGAAAGGCCAGGGACAGTGTGTTTCTGAGCCCAGAGGTCAGCGAGCAGGGTAAAAAAAGAGCTTATGTTTCCCGGGACACGAGTACATCTGGGAGGAGAACGTGTTTCTGACACCCAAAGACAGCGGCGATAGCGAAGGACAGTGTGTTTCTGAGACCAAAGGGCAGCGAGCACGGCAAAAAGAGTTTGTGTTTCCCGGGAGCCGAGTACAGCTGGGAGGAGAACGTGTTTCTGACACCCAAAGACAGGGGGAACGGCCAGGGACAGTGTG